TTGCTTATCTGGCAATTGTTTAATCCTTCCTTCAAATTTAAATGTTAGTCTTGCTGGATAAGGTGTTCTTGGTTTGAGGCCCTTCTGCCTCGTTGCATTAAATATATCATGCCATTCCTTTCTTGCCTGTCAGGTTTCTTCTGAGAAGTCTCATGATAGCCTGATGAGCTTTCTTTTGTATGTGATCTTATTTCTCTCTCTGGCTGCTTTTAGTAGTCTGTCCTTATACTTGATCTTTGCCATTTTAATTATTTAAAGTCTTGGTGTTGTCTTCCTTGGGTTTCTTGTGTTGGGTGATCTGTGCACCTCCATGACCTGAGAGACTATGTCCTTCCCCAGATTGGGGAAGTTCTCCACGATTACTTCCTCAAAGACACTTTCTATCTCTTTTTCTCTCTCTTCTTCTTTTGGTAGCCCTATAATACAAACATTGTTCCTTTTTTATTGGTCACACAGTTCTCTAAGTATTCTTTCATTCCCAGAGTTTCTTTTTTGTCTCTTTGCCTCAGATTCTTTGTATTCCTCTTACCTAGTTTCTATTTCATTTATTGTCTCCTTTACTCTATCTAATCTGCTTTTAATACCCTCCATTGTACTCTTGAACCACTGGATCTCCATCCTAAATTCATTCCTGAGTTCCTGAATATTTTTCTGTACCTCCATTAGCATGTTTATGAATTTTATTTTGAAATTTCTTTCAGGAAGATTTATTAATACAGTCTCTCAGTCCTTTCTTTATCTGGTGTTGAGATTTTGCTTTGAACCAGGTTCCTTTGATGGTTCATATTTGTATGTGGGCCCTCTACTGCCCAGAAGCTGTAGTCTCTGGAGCTGCTCAGCCCCTGGAATGATGGGAGTCGCAGGAGTGTGGTGCTGTTTCCTGTTTCCCAGCTGTTAATGCCTGTCTCCACTGCCAGAACCAATGTGCCAAACACAGAGGTGTAAGCCTCTATGCTTTGTGTTTGTATCTGCCTTAGGTGGGGCTTCCCTCTGACTTTCCTGATGCCAATGAAAGGTTTGCTGGTTTGTGAGCCTGGTACAACTGGGAGGAAGACACAGCAGGCTGCGTATCACAGTGGATGGCCTTGGAGCTGTGTAGCCAGCCAGGGGGATGAATCACCTGAGGATCGTTTAAGTTCCCAACCTCCTGGGCAGAGTGAACCTGGATAATTTTGTCTACCTGTCCTTTCTGCTGAGCAGTAAGCTCTGTGCAGTCCTTGCCCCTTTAGGAGCCGAGCCCTCTCACTATTAGGAAGTCTCTCAGACTGCCCACCCAGGTCAGGCGGATATGAATTCCTGTTTTCCACAAGCAGCTGGAATCACCGTCTCTCTGGGTAGTCAGCCTGTCTTAGCTTTCCAACACTGCTAATCACCAGAGCACCATGCAATGTAGGTTCATGTTCCCAGAGCATATCTCCAGCACTAGGTGTTCAGCAGTCCCAGGCCTCCACTTCCTCCCTGCTCTGTTTCTCTTCCTCCTCTGGTGAGCTGCTGTGGGGGAAGGGCTTGGGTCCTGCTGGGTCACAGCTTTGGTACGTTACCCTCTTCCATGAGGTCTGCTCTTTTCTCCAGGTGTATGCAGTCTGCTGTAGCCTTCTTTCCAGATGCTCTTCTTGGATTAGTTGTATAAACTATGTTTTCATATTATATGTTGCTTTAGGACGATGTCTCTGTCTCAACTTCACACCGCCATTTTTAATCCCTTGATCTCTGTTTTTATTTGGTCATTGATGCATTGTTTATTTAGGAGCATGTCGTGAAGCCTTCATGTGTTTCTGGGGTTTTTCATTTTTTTACATAAATTATTTGTAGTTTCATACCTTTGTGGTCCGAGAAACTGTTTGGTACAATTTCAGTCTTTTTGAATTTACCAAGTCTCTTTTTGTGACCTGGTATATGATCTATTCTTGAAAATGTTCCACGTGCACTTGAGAAGAATGTGCTGCTTTAGGGTATAGAGTTCTGTACATGTCTGTTAGGTTCATCTTTTCTAACATTTTGTTCAGTGCCTGTGTCTCCTTACTTATTTTCTGTCTGGTTGATCTGTCCTTTGGAGTGAGTGGAGTGTTGAATTCTCCTAGAATGATTGCATTGCATTCTTTTTTCCCTTTTAATTCTGTTAGTATTTGTTTCACATACGTAGGTGCTCCTGTGTTGGGAGCATGGATATTTATAATGGTTATATCTTCTTGTTGGATTAACCTCTTTATCATTATGTAATGTCCTTCTTTGTCTCTTGTGACTTTCTTTGTTTGAAAGTCAATTTTGTCTGATACAAGTACTGCAACTCCTACTTTTTTCTCTCTTAGTTCCATGAAATACCTTTTTCCGTCCCTTCACTTTTAGTCTGTGTATGTCTTTTATGTCTTTGAGTTTAAAGTGAATCTCTTGTAGGCAGCATATACATGGGTCTTGTTTTTTTATCCATTCAGTGACTCTATGTCTTTTGATTGGTGCATTCAGACCATTTACATTTAGGGTGATTATCAGTAGGTATGTACTTACTGCCATTGCAGGCTTTAGATTCATGGTTACAAAAGGTTCAGGGTTAACTTCCTTACCATTTAAGAGTCTAATTTAATTCACTTAGTATGCTTTTACACACACAATCTAAAGGTTCTTTTTTCCCCCGTTTTTTTCTTCCTCCTCCATTCTTTATATATTAGGTATCATATTCTGTACTCTTTGTCTATCCCTTGACTGACTTTGGGGGTAGGTGATTTAATTTTGCATTTACTTAGTAATTAACTGTTCTACTTTCTTTACTGTGGTTTTATTACCTCTGGTGACAGCTATTAAACCTTAGGAACACTTCCATCTATAGTAGTCCCTTCAAAATACATCGTAGAGACAGTTTGTGGGAGCTAAATTCTCTCAGCTTTTGGGTATCTAGAAATTGTTTAATCCCTCCTTCAAATGTAAATGGTAATTTTGCCAGGTAAAGTATTCTTGGTTTGAGGCCTTTCTCCTTCATTGCATGAAATATATCATGCCACTCCCTTCTGGCCTGTAAGGTTTCTGCTGAGAAGTCTGATGATAGCCTGATGGGTTTTTCTTTGTATATGATCTTTTTTCTGTCTCTGGCTGCTTTTAATAGTCTGTTCTTACCCTTGATCTTTGCCCTTTTAATTATTTGTGTGTCTTGGTGTTGTCTTCCTCGGGCCCCTTTTGTTGGAGATCTGTGCACCTCCATGGCCTGAGAGACTATCTCCTTCCTGAGACTGGGGAAGTTTTCAGCAATTACCTCCTCAAAGACGCTTTCTATCCCTTTTTCTCTCTCTTCGTTTTCTGGTACCCCTATTGTATGAATATTGTTCCGTTTGGATTGGTCACACAGTTCTCTCAATATTCTTTCATTCTTAGAGTTCCTTTTTTCTCTGTGTGCTTCAGCTTCTTTGTTTTACTGTTCTCTAATTTCTATTTCATTTATCATCTCCTCCACCATATCTAATCTGCTTTTGAAACCTTCCATTGTATGTTTCATTTCTGAAACTGTGTTCCGTAATGATTGGATCTCCTACCAGAATTCATTTCTGAATTCTTGAGTATTTTTCTGAACCTCCATGAGTATGTTTATGATTTTTATTTTGAAATTTCTTTCAGGAAGATTCATGAGGTCGGTTTCATTTGACTCTTTCTCTGGTGGATGTATGATTTTGCTTTGAGCCGGGTTCCTTTGACATTTCCTATTTGTATGTGGTGTCCTCTAGTGCCCAGAAACTCTCCTCTCTGGAGCTGGTCAACCCCTGGAGCAGTGTCAGGGGTTGCAGGGAAGTGGTGTTGGTGCCTTGTTTTGTGAGGTGTATTCTTTTCTCCAGGTGTATGCAGTCTGGCGCAGCCCTTTTTCCTGTTTATCTTTCAGGTTTATTTTTATTAATTATATTTTTGTATTATATGTGGTTTTAGGAGGAGGCCTCTGTCTCATCTCTTACACCATCATCTTTAATCCTGCCTCCTTAGGGGCAACTTATCTTTTAGTTCTAATGGTACCTTCAAATATATATATACATACATGTATGTGTACACATACCTAAACACTTTTTTTTTCTTCTTTGGCATTCATAGTACTTCTCTATTTGTTGTCAGCAGGAAGATTGGTCTGAATTATGTAGTCTTCCTTTAACAGAAGTGTGAGTCTTGCCATTATTTTTTTGCCAGACTATTGCAACATACTCTTAATTTGTCTCTGTCTGTCTACTTTGGTCCCTTCCAGTCCAGTTATTATATTGAGGTTGGATTGGTATTTCAAAAATACAGATCTGTTCATGTCACTCTCTTGTTTATAGTTAAGGATTTTTTTGCTCTTTGGACAAAGATCACTCATTTGTTTATTTAACAGTGAACAAGTATGTGTTGGATTCCTGCTACATGCTAGGCACTATCAGAAGCACTTGCTATAACTCTTAAAAAGATGTGGCACCTGCTTGTCTCCTTAGCCTCACATTATCTCAGTCTATGTGTTAGTTACAGTGCCCTTTTTTCAGTCCTGGAAAATCTGTTCTTTCATGACAGAGAGCATTAATCAATCAATCAATCAATTAATTATTTTCCCTCCACCTCAAATTACATTAGAATCTCCTTGAACATAGTGAGCAGAGTTATTTTAAAGTCTGTGTCTTATATGTCATATGCTTTCATAGAACTCGGTGCTTTTCCTTTACAGGACAATTTTACAATCTATTTGGACATTACGTTATAAATGTCTTCCTTGCCCATTAAAACTTAAATTCCATGAGAGCAATGTAATTCCTCTGGCCTAGCACAGTGGCTCCTAGGAAGTGTGCAGGAAATCCATGTTGAACAGATGAATGGATGAGTTATTTGCTATGTGAATTAAGGAGGACCCTTGTCTTTTCTTCTTCCTGTACTCTTCCCTTTACTTTTTTTCAGAGTATACGTAGTGCTTTCTGGGCATTCTGCTGGCCACTTAAGTCACTCACAGGCTGGTTGGGGAAACAGACACAATTGCAGATAATCACAGTGTACTGTGATGAGGGGGCATGGTAAAGGGTTGTACCAAGGTGCTGGGGTGGTCTGAGAGGAAGGGTACTCATGTCCTGTTCAGGGATCAGAGACAACTTCCTGGGGTTTCTGATATGTGAGAGGCAGGAGGATATAGGTATGGGAGACAAGGGAGGTCAATTTAGGAAGAGGAACAATCTGAGTAGAAATACTGAAGCTCAAATTGGCATGGCATCACTGGCAAGGATTTGTGGGAGCTGACATAGTGGCCAGTTGTGGCATTCCCTAATAGCCTGCTAAGCCACTCAGGCTTCTTACTCTAGGAAACTGGAATCTTGTGAAGAGTTGTTTTAGTTTGGGTAGTTTTAAATTTACTCTTTTAAAAAAAATCACAACAGTAACATTGCAACAAATTCAGGCAGCACAGAAATGTGTAAAATGAATATGACTTGCCTAAAAAGAAAAAAATGAAAAAACAAGAAACAGATTACTCTGGGAGAGAATCACTGTTACCGGTTTTGTATGCATGCTTCCAGAGTTTCAAATATAGCATTTTAGAATTTTCCACATTTTAGATTTGCAACTTTCTTCTTTCTGGAAAGCTGCTCCTCTAAATCTTCCTTGGCTTTCTGTCTCACTCAGTTAAGTGTCCACTCAAAAGTCATATCCTCAGAGTGCACGTTCTTCATCTACCTGTCAATAATAGGCTCCTCACATTACTTTTTAACCCCTTCTACACTTAATTTTCTTTAGAATGCTTACCACTTGTAATTAAATTTTCTTTTGTTAATCTCATACATTTGAATATAAGCTCTATGAGAGCAGTCATTAGTTCTCTTTTATTCACCATTGTATCCCCAACAGCTAGAATGATTCTCGGCACATAATAGGTGCTCCTTGTGTGTTGAATGAGTATATTAATTTGCATTTTAGATAGAATAAAATTCTTTCATGTGATTTTTCCAAAGTATTAATCTTATATTTTATTAATTTACAAACATACACAAAAGGAGAGAAAATAATATGAGTCTCAGGTGTTCCTTACCCAGCTTCAACAACTATCAACATTTTGGCATTATTGTTTGACACATTTCCCTACTTTTTTGGTGGTGGGGCAAATGTCAAGCAGCATCATTTCATCTGTAAATACTTAATTATTTGTGTTTAACAAATGACCTCTTTTACTACTTAAAAACTGTCACACTTAACAATAATCCTTAATAGCATCTGCTACCTAGTCCATGTTCAGTTTTCACCAATTGTCTTACATCTTTTTACAGTTGATTTGTTTGAAGCAGTATTCACACATTGTATTTGTTTAATTTATCTGTTCCTTTACTTTTCTTAAAATCTGTAACATTCCCTCCCTTCAGCTCCTTGTCTTTCCCATGCTATTTATTGTTTAAAAACAAGGACATTTACCTTGTGGAAAGGTAAGCCCATATTCTGGGTTTGTTGATTGCATCCTTATCTTTCATGTGGTTTTTATTTGTTCTTTATGGTACCCCTCTGAGTACCATATTCACAGTCACAGGGGTACAGTTCAGGTTTTATTGCCTTCCATATGAAAGGATTGATGATCACAGAGGGAAAGGAAGAGGGCACTAATATTTGACTACCTTCTCCGTGGCCATTTCTGTTCTACTTGTTTACCTCTCAGTAACCCTCTGAAGTTGTGGTTATCCCTCTTTCAGAGATGTGGCTTGGAGTGGTTAATTAGCTTGTTCCAGACATATAGCTATTGCATAGTGTGTCAGAGCTTCAGACTCAGATCTGTCTAATTCAAAGCCTTTTCTCTTTCTGCTGCATCCAAGAAAGTGACTTTGCCAGGGTTCTATCTATGGTAAGTGGAGTGCCAGGATTCTACGTCTTCTGATTCCATAGCTGTTGCCCCTTCACCCATTTCTGGCCTCCTTGTTGTGCCCAGGCACCACCTTAGAAATTAGGTAGGAGGTGTGGAGATGGTCACACCTAGTATGTACCTCATCTTTTGAGCATACATTTAAGTAATTTTATCTTTGGTATAGAAATTACTTACTTAATCTTAGCATTGACATGTTTCTTTTTTCTTTTATTCCACTTCACATATGTTGAATGTCTACTTAATGCCAGATGATGTACTTCATACTTGAGATATGGTGATGAACAAAGGACATGTTCCTTTTCATTTTGGGGGGACATTTATCACCATGGGAATCTTGGTGCAAAAGAGACCATCTCCAAGTACTGACGCTAAAAGGGCCAAACTACTCATTTCCTAGTCCCCTTTGCATCTGGGGCCAGGCACCAGATCTAACCCTACCCATTAGACTCACCTGCCTTTGACTTCTAGTGATCCCAAAAAGCAGCTAGAGTGAAAGATTCCGTCTGGTGGTAACAGTGCTGGCTATAGCACCCAATTTATAGGGGCTCCAGGGGCAGTGGTGCTGACAGCAAAAGCAGTGCCCAGTGCAGGTAGTGTTTGTGGTGCAAGCTTCAGCAACTCACTTCCTGCCTGGGGGGGGAAGGTACTTTTAATCCCAAAAGCACATTTCTTGTTAGAAGTCAGTGACATCAAGAAGGCACAAAAAAATTCCCATTCATTTTGCAGTATTTGGGTGTAACATACTGGTTGAGAAAAGCTCTCAACCCTGGAGTATATAAGGTTAATTTTTCAGAAATAAAAACTTAGAATACTTGCATCATTGAATCTCTCTTTTGAGTTATTAATTTCCATGTTCCTGTTTATTGGTTACTTAGAGTGGAGCATCAAGGTAATAACAACTTCTTTTGTTCCAGGAGAATGATCCATCTGTGAGACTGAAAATTGCATCGTTACTGGGTTTATTGTCGAAGACTGCAGGATTTTCACCAGATTGTATTATGGATGATGCCATTAACATCCTGCAGAATGAAAGTAAGTTGCAATTTAAAAGCTATATAATCAGAGTAGAAATTTTTAGTTTGTTTTGTACAGAATGTAGAACAAAATTTTGTTGTGTTGATTGTTATTGAAAAAGAATTTGAGGATGATGTGATAAAACCAATTATATGTATTTACATTAGAGTTAAAACACAGTTTTGTCTCTTAATAGTTATCATTTATTGACCTCTACCAAGTGCCATATACATGAGGTAGTTTACGTATAAGATAGACATTATTGTCCTTATTTTATAGGTGGGGAAACTAAAGCTCAGAGAAGTTAACTAATATGTTAAAGGTTACACCATCTGTGACAGAGGGATGTTTTATATGCATGTGATGTTTTGTTGACTGTGCCACATTAACTGAGAAACTGTGAGGGGTGCTGTCCTGGTCATGTGTCCAGGGTAGCGCCATGGTGTCAGAGATTTCTTCACTTCCTTCTGTCTTCTCTACATGCTTTCTTTTCTCTTTGTGGCCTCTTTTAATTGGAGACTTTTCTTGATGATCTTGGCTTTCTATTTAAATCTAAGATGAGACAAAAAGTGGATTGATAATTCTCTGTGATGGATGGGGCTTATCAACTGATAGCCTCCACTAAAGACATTAAATGTTAGTATCTTCAGTGTTTTTCTGTGGGGCCCATCACTTTTTCCACTTAGAAGTTCAGAAGACAGAGAAATGCCTGGTTGCTATGGATTTGGGGCCAAAGCAGCTGACATAGGCTAGGAAGAAGGAGGCAATGTCTCATTATAAGTACGTTACTATCTTTTAATGTCCTCTTCACAGTATCATCCTGTCCTCACCTTGTATCCCCCAAATTGGATACTTTCTGATCTGATTTATAGTACTGCAACACCTGCTTTTTTCTCCTTGTTTGCATGAAATACCTTTTTCCATCCCTTGACTTTTAGTCTGTGCATGTCTTTGGGTTTGAGGTGAGTCTCTTGTAAGCATCATGTAGATGGGTCTTGCTTTTTTATCTATTCTATTACTCTGTGTCTTTTGATTGGTACATTCAGTTCATTTACATTTAGGGTGATTATTGAAAGATACGTATTTATTGCCATTTCAGGCTTTAGATTTGTGGTTACCAAAGGTTCAAGGTTAGCTTCTTTACTATCGTACCATCTAACTGAACTCGCTTATTGAGCTATTTTAAACAGTCTGATGATTCTTTATTTCTCTCCCTTCTTATTCCTCCTCCTCCATTCTTTATATGTTAGGTGTTTTATTTTGTGCTCTTTTGTGTGTCCTTTGACTGCTTTTGTGGGTGGTTGATTTTATTTTTTGCCTTTAGTTAGTATTTGGTTGGTCTGTTTTCTTTGCTGTGATTTTATTTTTTCTGGTGACAGCTATTTGGCCTTAGGAGTGCTTCCATCTAGAGCAGTCCCTCTAAAATACCCTGTAGAGGTGGTTTGTGGGAGGCAAATTCCCTCAACTTTTGCTTGTCTGGGAGTTGTTTAATCCCTCCTTCATATTTAAATGATAATCGTGCTGGATACAGTATCCTTGGTTCAAGGCCCTTCTGTTTCATTGCATTAAATATATCATGCCATTCTCTTCTGGCCTGTATGGTTTCTGTTGAGAAGTCTGATGATAGCCTGATGGGTTTTCCTTTGTAGGTGATCTTTTCTCTCTCTCTGGCTGCCTTTAATGCTCTGTCCTTGTCCTTGATCTTTGCCATTTTAATTATTATGTGTCTTCGTGTTGTCCTCCTTGGGTTCCTTGTGTTGGGAGTTCTGTGTGCTTCCATGGTCTGAGCAACTATTTCCTCCCCCAGTTTGGGGAAGTTTTCAGCAGTTATTTCTTCAAATACTCTTTCTATTCCTTTTTCTCTCTCTTCTTCTTCTGGTACCCCTGTAATGCAGATATTGTTCTGTTTGGATTGGCCACACAGTTCTCTTAATATTCTTTCATTCCTGGAGATCCTTTTATCTCTCTCTGCGTCAGCTTCTCTGCATTCCTGTTCTCTGACTTCTATTCCATTAACGGCCTCTTGTACCTCGTCCATTCTGCTTTTAAGTCCTTCCAGAGACTGTTTTATTTCTGTATTCTCCCTCCCAACTTTATCCGTTAGCTCTTGCATTTTTCTCTGCAGCTCCATCAGCATGGTTATGACCTTTATTTTGAATTCTTTTTCAACAAGATTGGTTAAATCTATCTGCCCAGGTTCCCACTCAGGGAATGTCTGTGTGATTCTGGTCTGAATCAAATTCTTCTGCCTTTTCATGGCGATAGAGGTAGTCATGGGCAGTTGGCACATGTGTCAGCTGGGAGAACAAAGTCCCTTCCCGCTTGCCTGTCGCCTTCCTCTCCTGTGAGAAAAGCGACCCCTAGTGGCTTGTGCTGGGCAGCTGCATGCTGACAGGGCCTCTGAATCTGGTCCGGGCGGCTGCAGAGGAGACTCTGCATGACTGCTGTGGGCGTGTCCGGTCTCAGGCTGCTGCTTTGCTATGGCGGGGCCGCACCAGAGGGGGAATGGGCAGGAGGCTGTTTATCACCATGAGGGGTTTCAGAGCTGCACTGCCACCCAGGGGGTTAGGGTGCCTAGAGTTCCCCAGGATTCCCAGCTGCTGGGCTGAGTACACTAGGGCGTTTCTGTCCAGCTGTGGGTTCCCTGTTCCTTTAAGACTTTCAAAAAGCACTCACTTTTCTTTTGTCCCAGGAGCGCTGGCTGTGGGAACCTGTTTGCAGGTTTTACTGTTCTGTTTCCCTAGTATCCAGCACACCACGCACTGTGTGATTGTGCTCCTGGTGCGGATTACTAGGACTGGGTGTTTAGCAGTCCTGGGCTCCCTCTTCCTCCCCACTCCGACTTCTCTCCTCCCGCCAGGGAGCTGGGGTGGGGGGTGCGCTTGGGTCCCGCTGGGCCTCGGCTTGTATCTTACCCACTTCATGAGGTGCTGGGTTCTTGCAGGTGTAGATGTAGCCTGGCTGTTATTCTGTATCTTCTGGCCTCTCTTTTAGGAATAGTTGTATCTGTTGCATTTTCAAAAATGTATATGGTTTTGGGAGGAGATTTCCACTGCCCTACTCACGCTGCCATCTTGGCCCCTTCCTCCTGATCTGATTTCTATATTGAAGAAATCTCCTATTTCAGTGGTCACTTGCCTCTGTAGGTTTAGGGAGGAAGGCAGGGGTCCAACTGCTTTTTATAAAGACCTCAGAGAAATCCCTACCTCATCACTGTCTTTTGTTTTGTTTTTAAAATGCCAGTTCCTGAATCTTTATGGACTGTTACGCCTAGGATTTATTTACTTTTAGGGACATCCTCCTCATAAGCATTCAGTATAGATTTCTTAGCTTTGCCAAAGAATTTTTCATCTGCCTTCTGTCACTGAAAAATTTGTTGACCTTTTTTTATCTACCTACCTTCATTCTCCTGTTCTCTTTGTCCTTGTAGGTTTATACCTTTTTAGTTTATTTACTCTTATTAATGAAGTTTTAGGAAAGAATAAACAGAAGTGTTCAATCTATTGTGTTTAACTGGAAGTCTTACTAAGAGGGAATTTAATCAGTGTTTTCTAAGCTTTAGTCATTTATATATCATGTACACCACTTGACATATTTGCTTCACATCTATAAATGGCATACTTTGTGTTTTTCATAAGTGGTCAGTTTTTGTTAGTTAAAAAAGTTAAAGATTGGCCCAGGAATTCCACTCCTATGAATTTTCCAGAAGAAAACAAAATCACAGATTCAAAAAGACATATGCACCCCTGTGTTTATTGCAGCACTATTTACAGTAGCCAAAATATGGAAGCAACCAAGTGTCCATCAGTAGATGAATGGATAAAGAAGATGTGGTACATATACACAATGGAATATTACTCAGCCATAATAAGAAAACAAATCCAACCATTTGCAACAACATGGATGTAGCTGGAGGGTATTATGCTCAGTGAAATGAGCCAGGCAGAGAAAGACAAGTATGAAATGATTTCACTGATCTGTGGAGTATAAAAACAAAGCAAAAACTGAAGGAACAAAACAGCGGCAGACTCACAGAACCCAAGAATGGACTAACAGTTACCAAAGGGAAAGGGACTGGGGAGGATGGGTGGGAAGGGAAGGATAAGGGGAATAATGGGCATTATGATTAGCACACATAATGTAGGAGGGGCCACGGGGAAGGCAGTATAGTACAGAGAAGACAAGTAGTGACTCTACAGCATCTTACTACACTGATGGAGAGTGACTGTAATAGTGTATGTGGTGGGGACTTGATAATGGGGGGAATCTAGGAACCACAGTGTTGCTCATGTAATTGTATATTAATGATACCAAAAAAAAAGTTAAAGAGACTGTATAAGTAATGGTAAAAATAAATTAGTGTCATGTGACAGTAATTAGGGACATTAAAATATATACACAGTTATCAGTGTAAAAAATGATTATCTGAATAAAATCCTCTTGTAAACTACCAGCATTGTAAGAACTATATTTTGGAACAAAGACGAGAATTTAGACAAAAAAATATGGCTGAGATGATTGATAATGATTTATTTAGATTTGGCTCTTTGCCTATTTATTAAACATTCATTGGGCATATAATGAGTTGTGTTGGATTCTGAGAATACAAGGGTGAATGAAACAATTCTTGCCTTCAAGCATCTTTTAGTCCCCTGGTTTAGGCTGATATGAAAATAATTATCATTAAGTGTGAGAGCTGACATAGAGGGTGCAGTAGAAGCACACAGGAGGAAATAGTCAAGTCTTCTTGGGAAGGAAGGAAAAGCTCCATAAAAGAGGTGATGTTTCTTTTAATTAAAAATTAATTAATTAATTATGGTATCATTGATATACAGTCTTACAATGGTTTCAAATAAGCAACATTGTGGTTTCAATGTTCACCTATATAATCAAGTCCTCCCTCACCCCATTGCAGTCACTATCCATCTGCATAGTAAGATGCAATAGAATCATTACTTGTCTTCTCCATGCTATATTGCCTTCCCCGTGACCTACCTATATTGTGAGTGCTAATTATAATGCCCCTTGATCCCCTTCTCCCTTCCTCCCCACTCACCCTCTGTAATCCCTTCCCTTTGGTAAACGCTAGTCCCTTCTTGGAATCTGTGAGTCTGCTGCTGTTTTGTTCCTTCAGTTTTGCTTTGTTGTTATACTCCACGAATGAGTGAAATCATTTGATACTTGTCTTTCTCCCCTGGCTCATTTCACTGAGTATAATACCCTCCAGCTCCAACCATGTTGTTGTAAATGGTAGGATTTGTTTCTTTATTATGGCTGAACAGTATTCCATTCTGTATGTATACCACATCTTCTTTATCCATTCATCTACTGATGGACACTTAGGTTACTTCCATATCTTGGCTATTGTAAATAGTGCTGGAGTAAACATAGGGGTGCATATGTCTTTTTGAATCTGTGATCTTGTTTTCTTTAGGTAAATTCCTGGAAGTGGAAATCCTGGGTCAAATGGTTTTTGAGGAACCTCCATATGGCTTTCCCCAATGGTTGAACTAATTTACATTCCCACCAGCAGTGTAGGAGGGTTCCCCTTTCTCCTCATCTTTGCCAGCATTTGTTGTTTCTTTTCTTTTGGATGTTGCCCATCCTAACTGGTGTGAGTTGATACCTCATTATGCTTTTAATTTGCATTTTCCTGAAAATTAACAATGTGGAGCATCTTTTCATGTACCTGTTTGCCATCTGAATTTCTTCTTTGAAGAAGTGTCTGTTCAGATCCTCCGCCTATTTTTTAATCATGTTATTTGTTTTTTGGGTGTTGAGGCAAGTGAGCTTTTTATGTATTTTGGATGTTAACCCCTTATCAGATAAGTCATTTATGAATACATTCTCCCATATTGTAGGATGTCTCTTTTTTCTACTGATGGTGGTGTCTTTTGTTGCACAGAAGCTTTTTAGTTTGATGTAGTCCCATTTGTTCATTTTTGCTTTTGTTTCCCTTGCCTGCGGAGATGTGTTCAGGAAAAAGTTACTCATGTTTATATTCAAGGGATTTTTGCCTATGTTTTCTTCTGTGAGTTTTATGGTTTCATGACTTACATTCAAGTCTTTGATCCATTTCAAGGTTACTTTTGTGGATGGAGTTAGACAGTAATCCAGATTGATTCTCTTACATGTAACTGTCCAGTTGTGCCAACACCAGTTGTTGAAGAGGCTGACATTTCCTCACTGTATATCCGTGGCACCTTTATCATGTATTAATTGGCTATGTATGTGTGGGTTTATATCTGGGCTCTCTGTCCTGTTCCATTGGTCTATGGGCTGTTCTTGTGCCAGTACCAAATTGTTTTTATCATGTGGCTTTGTACTAGAGCTTGAAGTTAGGGAGCATAATCCCCCCAGCTTTGTTCTTCCTTCTCAGGATTGCTTTGGCTATTCAGGGTCTTTTGTGGTTCCATATGAATTTCAGAACTATTTGTTCTAGTTTATTGAAGAATGCTGTTGGTGTTTTGACAGGGACTGCATTGAATCTGCAGATTTTTTTAGGCAGGATGGCCATTTTGACAATATTAATTCTTCCTATCCGTAAGCACAGGATGTATTTATATTTATTGGTGTATTCTTTAATTTCTCTTATGAGTGTCTTGTAGTTTTCAGGGTATAGTTCTTTCACCTCCTTGGTTAGGTTTATTCCTAGGTATTTTATTCTTTCTGATACAATTGTAAATGGTGGTGTTGTCTTGATTTCCCTTTCTGCTTGTTTATCATTAATATATAGAAATGCAACAGATTTCTGTGTATTAATTTTGTATCCTGCAACTTCACTGAATTCAGTTATTAGTTGTAATAGTTTTTGGGTGGAATCTTTAGGGTTTTTAATGTACAATATCATGTCATCTGCAAACAGGGCCAGTTTGACTTCTTCCTTACCAATCTGGCTGCCCTTTATTTCTTTGTGTTGTCTAATTGCTGTGGCTAGGATCTCCAGTACTATGTTGAATAAAAGTGGGGAGAGTGGGCATCCTTGTCTTGTTCCCAATCTTAGAGGAAAATCTTTCGCTTTTTGCTGTTAGTATGATGTTGTTCTATATGGCCTTTATTATGTTGAGGTACTTGTCCTCTATATCCATTTGTTGAGTGTTTTTGTCATGAATTTATCTTGAATTTTGTTGAATGCTTTTTCGGCATCTATGGAGATAATCATGTGATTTTTGTACTTTTTGTTGATGTGGTGTATGATCTTGATGGATATTTGAATATTGTACCATCCTTGTATCCCTGGAATAAGTCCCACTTGATTATGATGAGTGATCTTTTTGATGTATTTTTGAATTTGGTTTGCTAATATTTTGTTGAGTATTTCTGCTTCTATGTTCATCAGGGATATTGGTCTGAAATTTTCTTTTTTTGTAGTGTGTTTGTCTGGTTTTGGTATTAGAGTGATGCTGGCCTCATAGAATGTGTTTGGAAGTATTCACTTCTCTTCTACTTTTTGGAAAACTTTAAGGAGGATGGGTATTAAGGCTTCTCTAAGTGTTAAATAAAATTCAACAGTGAAGCCATCTGGACCTGGAATTTTGTTCTTAGGTAGTGTTTTGATTCTGATTCAATTTCATTCCTGGTAATTGGTCTGTTCAGATTTTCTGTTTCTTCTTCGGTCAGTCTTAGAAGGTTGTATTTTTCTAGAAAGTTGTCCATTTCTTCTAGGCTATCCAATTTAATAGCATATAATTTTTCATAGTATTCTCTAATAAATCTTTGTTTTTCTGTGGTGTCTATAGTGGTTTTTCCTTTCTTATATCTGATTCTGTTTATGTTTGTACACCCTTTGTTTTCTTGATAAGTCTGGCTAGGGGTTTATCTGTTTTGTTTATTTTCACAAAGAACTATCTCCTGGTCTTATTGGTTCTTTCTTTTGTTTTATTCTTGTCAATTTTATTTATTTATGCTCTGATCTTTATTATGTCCCTCCTTGTATTGACTTTGGGCCTCATTTGTTCTTCTAGTATCATTAATTGTGAATTTAGACTGTTCCTTTGGGATTGTACAAGAGGTGATATTTCAAAAATACTAGGTGCTCCTGGGATTGGGGTTGAGGAATGGAGTTGGATGTGGGTGAAGGCATTCTAGGAAAGTTGTCTTAGCAAAGATGGAGGGGGTGAAATCATAAGTAATTGGAAAAAAGGAAACTTGAAAGAATGAGGCTAGAAAGGTAGGCAGAGCTATACATCATGGAGTGACTTGTATGTATGTATTCCTTGATAAGGAATTTGGATTTCATCTTGAACACAGTGAAAAACCCTTGAATTACTCAAGCACTAAACCCAGTCCTGTGGAAGACTCAGATTTTTAGACATGATCCTTTTAGGAAGTTAGCTTTCATTTGAGAGGAATCAAGTATCAAATAGAACCTACCTGACAGAAATTTACATTTTTTACACAGATATATTTAATTTCTGTAGTGATCTCCTTTTGAAATTCTACAACCCAACTTTCCATCTTCCTTTCTAGAGTCTCATCAAGTCCTAGCTCAACTGTTGGATACTTTGCTTGTAATTGGCACTAAACTCCCAGAGAATCAAGCCATCCACATGCGATTAGTTGATGTAGCCTGCAAGGTAGGAGTTTAATGGTTATTCACAGGGTTGCATCTTTCTTAAATAGTTTGCATTATCTGAAGAGGTGGTATGAGCTGTAAGATCTGCTTATTAGCACCATCCTAAATATGTAACTGAGAATTGCCAAGGACTCTTAATGCTTTTAAGAGCAGCTTCATTAAAAAAATTTTTTTAAATTGAACTATCATTGATATACGATGTTATATTTGTGTCAGATATATAACACAGTGGTTCAACAGCTACGCATATTATTAAATCCTCATCTCCACTAGTGCAGTTATTATCTGTCAACATAGGAAGATGTTACAGAATCATTGGTTATATTCACCATGTTGTACTACCATTCCCATAACCATATTTATGATTGAGAATTTTTGTGCCCCTCTGTCCCCCTTAATCTCCTCACCCACCCAGCCCAGCTCCTCTCCTGTTGTATTCACCATTCACTTCTCAGTGTCTACGAGTCTACTGCTGTTTTGTTCATTTTGTTTTGCTTTGTTTTATATTCCACAAATAAGATCATATGGTACTTGTCTTTTTCTGCCTAGCTTATTTCACTTAGCATAATCCCCTCTAAATCTGCGCATGTTGTTGCAAATGGAGTCACCTCATTTTTTCTGTTTCCTCATGTTGGATTAGGAATTAAGTTGAGTAACTTATAAAATGAATTTCCTTATCCTCCCAAAATAAATGAAAATAATTATAGTAGCTTCCACAGATACTGTGCCTAACATATTCAGTCTGCTTATTATGGTAATTTTATGCAGTTTTTCATTCATTCTTTATAGTCCTTAGGACTTGGTATTATTCCTGTTTTACAAAGGTGGAAATTGGGGTTTAGGGAGTTTAACTTGCCCAAGTTTTCACAGCTAGGAAGTTGTAGAACCAGGATATAAACTCTGGTTTCTCTGATTCCAAAGCCCTTCTTCTTTTTATCATGCTTTATTGCCTCAATAAAACAGAGTAATTAAACATAAATAAGTGTCTGAGAATTTTTAGGTTTCATTTTTTTATTATAAAGGAAATACATGTCTTTTGATTTAATTTGGAGGTTTTAAAAATAACTGCCTTTTATGTATAACCATATCTCCTAAACCTTTTAGAATTCTTTTTTTCTTTAAATCCCTTTGAGAAATTCATGTTGAGAATATAAGCAGACAAGTGTGTATGAATTATGGAAGAGTATTATATTTATTAGAAAACTGTTTCTGAGCCACCTGGAAGTAATGTTTCATTTATCTTAATAAACATAACAATAGCAAATAAAGCCCAAAACAATAACAAGTGCAATATTAGAAACCAAAGTGGAAAAACATAGAGATTGTGTGTTTGAGATAGTAAGTATATCTCCTAAGTGAAAGAATGATAAATCTGTGAGGCTGTTTTTTTTGAGTCACTGTACTAAGTGAATTGTTATGTTTAAAGTTACAATTTCTTCAGTTTCCTTTAAATAAACTTTTCATTATACAAATTTATTAGAATATTTGGAAAGATTAAAGAAAGAACTATACTCATAATTCACTGTCCAAAGGCAACCATTATTAGCCTTTTGATTCATTGCTTTCTGATCTTTTTCTACATATGCATATTGTTTTCTTTTTTAAACAGATAGCTATAATCATATTCTATATATAATTTTGCCTTTTCACTAATATTGCAGTAGAAATATTTTCCTTATATTGTCTTTGTAAACCTTTTTAATGGATGAATGATAGTTTGTCCAGTAATTAAACCATAGTTTAACCATTCTTCTATTA